TCTGTAGTTGGAAAGCAACCATTAATTATGTATTACTTTTTTACAAATATTATATTCTTAACAGACGTGTATTAATATATGTTACCCTAGTATTTCATAACACAAGCCCTACAGTGCTTACTTTGGGCTAACGGGGCTCCAGGCGCAATACGTAGCGTTAATGGCTCCAGCGGCCACCCGACTATCATGTATTGCGATTGTTTGGTGTTGTGTAATTTATTAAAGTTTTTGATGTGTAACATCTTTCTCTGGCTTTCCTGCAATTTGTGGGAGTGATTTCGTGAAATGGGACGGAAGTGTGTAACGGGAAGACGCGAAAGCGCGCGCTATTTGATTTGATTTTAGAACATAATGTTCAAATGGCTTATTCATTTTGTAGTACGTTTTATTTAATAATAAGGTGAGGTTTCAAATGTAACATATCATACGCGACTACTGTAAGGCTCGCTGTTTTTTTTTTAAATTTCTACAGGTAAATCACAAATTATTATAATGTATTAAATATGAAATTGGAATATTACTTGAAACAATTTTATTACATAGCACTGCCATTTCTCCCTTTTTCCTTAATGCTGTTACCAACTTTTATTACATCCAGAAACTACACATAAAGGTATGTCGAGTTATTTTTCCAATATCATTAATATGAGGTTAGAATATGTATGCGTATGACATCTATCAATGGTCGTGTCGACGAATCAGTCAAAGCCCTCTGTAGGAAGAAATCCGTAGTTGGGATCCCCATTGATGGGTGTTGGATTTATATTATCATTTTGCTTATAAATACTAACATTGAGAGAAACGGACGATTGTTTTAGAATATTTTTTCCATCGGTATGTTTATCAGCCTTATATGGCAAACTTTAAGGAAATCTTTAAAAGGATTTAGCGTGATTACCTTGATTTTCTCCCACTTGTCGTCGACCTCTTGCAGCCACGAGTTGATTTGTCTCCCGTTGCAGCGGGAGCGCTGAGCGTTACGCTTCTCCTCCTGCTCTGGAGCTAGCACGTTGTAAACTTCGTTGTCGCGCAACATTGTGCACACAGAGAAAGGAAGAGCCTGCAAGTTTTACATGCGTGTAGTCCACATTGATAAAATGGATATGTTAGTCATCATCCTCAACAGCCTATTAATGTCCCCATTGCTGGTGCACAGGCCTCCCCTGTAGATGGAATAGGGAGATTTGGCCATGACCCACCACGCGGGCCCAGTGCGCATTGGCGGGTGTTAACAACTGCAGATGCAGCCGGGACAGAGGAACTCGAGATAGAACATTTTTGGTCATTCATCCAATGACCAACCACTTCGAAAGTTGCTTAACTTCAACGATCGCATCCGAACGAGCTAACCACCCGCGCTATTCAGCTCCTCATACATATTAGTTATTATATAGTCATAGATGTTAGTCATACATAATCCATTTAACTGAAACCACTGGTCTGAAGTTCTAAAATTAAAAAAAATAAGTACATTTAAAACTCATTATATATTATTTCTATTGACAAAGACAGAATGTGTTTAACAGGATGTAGGTTTATTTTGATTTGTTTACAATACATATTAATAAAAGACCAACTAATATTTTTCTGATCAATATGCCGATTTTATGAATGTACAACACAATAAAAGCTAATAGGCTATAACAAATAAGAGCCTTCTTTATTCTATATTCGTAATGTGAAGCGATGAAAATTATACAGTAACTAAGTAAATTATGTAGAATTTATAATTACAAATGGTCTTTGTATGACGGGATTATAAGAAAAAATATGTTTTTAAGCATACAATCATAGTCAAAATATCTCATACTTGGTTAGCCACCGCACGCTCGGCACGACCGTGAACGCGAAGAATCTCTTGTTCAACAGCCAGCACAAGTTTCTCTTTTTCAACAAGATGTTGTATACGCAGGCGAGTCCTGTGACAATACTTAATATTAAAAATGTTTCAATATATAAAGAAAATTATAGTTGAAAAAATTTCACGCGAATCTGACATTGTGTGTTACCTACAACGCGAAGAGATGGCGCTGTCTCGCAACCTAAGAAATACTAAAGAAAATTCAACACGGGGATTAGGGCCGCGGTAGCATAATTGTCAATGCATTCGCACGGATAGCGGAGGTTGCGGGCTCGGGTCCCGTCCGCTGCCTGGACAGCGTGAAATTTTTTGTAGTAATTTTTTTAATATTAATATACTGAAATGAATTGAAAAGTCATTTATTCAGTCTAGGCTGTTACAAGCACTTGTGAAGGTCAAGAAGCTACGCCATCGGTTCGCAAAACTACGGCGGGAGACCTTGTACTGAGAAGAACCGGCAAGAAACTCAGCAAGGGCTGTTTTTTTCTCCCTGTATTTGTTATATACAGAGTCGTCATGTTGAAAAATGACTTCAGAGATACGTGTGAAGTCACCTTCCATTACAATATAATAGAATATAAATATATAGTTACAATAAATTTTATGGTTAACATTATATTTAGTATATCGGAAGCGGCATTAGATAGGTACAATATTACTATTATGAAAAATGACTAATACCCATTAAATAACAAATTATAAGAAACACCATGTCCATGCATTACGATCATTTAGATAATCATCAACTTTATAATTCATAAGAGTATTTTTGATCTGAGATTTAAATTTAGTCAGTGGAAGCTCAATCAGATCTAGGGGAACTTTATTAAACAATGCAATACTACAACCCAGAAATGAACCTCTTGATTTTTGGAGTCTGAAACATGGAACGGCAAGCTTGTTCTTAAATCTCGTGTTAAAGTTATGGGTTTGACTTTTTTTTGCAAATGCATTATAGTTTTTTTTTACATATATTAAATTTTCATAAACGTATTGCGACGCCACAGTGTTATGGTAGTTTATGATACTGTTGCATAATAAGGGTTCTTATAACATGAGTGTGTTTTAAAAAAACGAGCCGTAGCACAGTGGTCTGAAAATCGAGCTCCATACTCATAGAAATTTAATGTCTGAAATAATTAAAAAAAAATTGGATTGGATTTAGTATACATCCCTCTTTTTAATATTATAGTATGAAGGGTATGAGAAGTACCACGCCTGAGAAAAAAAATAATTTGTTTTTTTTTGTATGGGAGAAAACACTTAGTGATTTTTTTTAAAACTGAAAGGAACTGAAAGGCTGGTACTCATATGAGCTATTGCACCTTACACGGCGAACCAGATGACGTATAATATTTGTGCCTTTGCCGCCATACCGCTTTGCGTGTAGGCAACATTCGAAATGTTAAATTATCAGTATATGATTTTTCAAATGTTTGATGCTAGGTACTCTTATTTGTGAAGTTATAAGAATGTGCCTTTGAATATAATAATAATAAATAATAAATTTTCATTCTATAATAAGTAATAAATAATTAGTAATTATATTATTTTTGAATTATTTTTACTTTAATGAACGCGCAAGTATTTTTTAAAATTAGAAAATATGTAGTAAGTTTAATCTTAAATGATTTAACATATTTATAGTTAAAAATGGAGTAAAATAAAAACACGTATTTTGATTACAAATGGTTATATATTTTTTATGTAAAATACGTTAATACAACAACACTACACACTAACATTAGTAAAGAAAAGATAATAAAAATACCAGTAAAATCAGAGTTGAAATTTTTTTAAAGGCACAATTACAGACTTGAGAATGGTGAACATAATTTACATACAGCGTTACTTAATCTATTCTTAACCCCAATAAAAATTGTGCACAGTATTTGGTAATAAATAATTAACGGTTAACATAGATAAAGTTTTAATTTTATATTTTATTTAATTGTTAATCGAAAATAATTTAGTTTTGATTTTTACAAATAATGTAAATATACAAGGGTTAATTTAAGACTATTACACTATTTACAGCTATTTATATTTATATATATTGATTATATTATTTACAACAGCAATAATAACTTTATACCAAAACTTTTATGAGAGAGTATCTTCGTCATCATCAAAATCCTCTAAATCCAAGTCCAGCACTGACGCATTAACATCGACAAATTCAATGTTCTCTCTGTCTGCATCGTCACTAATGAAAAGAGGTTTCATATCATCAGTAATAGCTGTGTTTACAGATTTTCTCAGCACAGGTCTTATGCCGGACAAATAAAGATCTGACGAGACAATGGTCTCCTCATTGAAAATGTCTTCTTTTGTCGCTTTTCTACTAAATTTGCGCGAGTGATGTTCTCGGATTTTCTTTAAGTCTTTTTTCTGGCTTCCGATGTCTCTTCAGATAATTTGCCAATAGGCATAATATTGAAGTGTTCAATAACTTCAGCACCATGCAATAAAAGCTTGTGGACACTCGAAGGCATGTAGTACCAGCCATAGAGCTCCACGTACATTTCTGCAGTGTGGCGTGCAAAAATTTTAAATGCCTCAACATTTATGGGCCTTCCACAGGCTATCCCACGCAAAAGTGTTGCAAATCTTTGGATCAAACTGGAATCCAAACCTGTGATAGCTACAGTTTTGGCAGATCACATAAAATTTCCTCGCTGTGTTTCCATCATTTGTGTTTCCGGAACCTGAAATAAAAAGGCAACAGCTTTTAAAATAACTAGTGTCATTAAAAAAAAAAAAAGGTTTAAGAACAACGACTATTACTTTAACTCATCTTGCTTAACAATGTCTACTAGAAGGCCCATTTCATCACGGAACTTCTGCTGTATAATTAGTTTTCTACCTTTCAATGAGTCTTTGCTGCTTGGATCTGTGGCTTGCCATGTTTTGAAGTCCAGTCTATACGAAATATGGATAAGACACTCCATACTCCTGACCCAAGCATGAATCGTAGATAAACCATATTGATATATTTCCGTTGAGACAGGTTACCTGGAAAGAAAGTAATTAATAAAAAGATACAATAGCAAGCTGCAATTATTTTATCAATCTATTCAAAACTCACTCTGAGATCTTCTCTAACATATTCATTTCCGAAGGTGTAGCTTTACAGATGTCACAAGTCTGGGTTGAGGTTTTTGATAGTTACTCAGTGATTTTGCCATCTATCGTAGTCATAAGCATTGAGTGTTTAACAGTATGAATTCCCATAATAGACGGTTCCAGTGCTGTAATCTCAGCTTCAACCAAAGCCTGTTCTTCCTTAATATTCAAATTATTTTCATTAATAAAAATGAAATAGAGTGGCCTGCAGAACATTGTGGAAGTTCGCTTTGGATTCTCCCATATCTTTTCTTCGCCACAAACTAAGCGTAGAGGCACAAAATAACACATAAAAATGCTGCAATCATCTTCACCAGTTATAGTTTGCTTGTACAAACTTTGCCCTGAAGCACCATCAAAGCCCCACTTGCATATCAGTGTTAGCTCTTTGCCATCCAGTGAAAATTCCAAACGTAGGAATTTACCAAGTCTTGCAACAGTTTTGTCCAAAATCGCTTGAAGCTTTACTTTTACCCCTCTTTCTGTGATTTCTATGGCACCTTTTGGTGGGTAGCAGTCCTTCTTCGCCTCTAACATAGCTGTATATGAAGGATATAGTGGTATTCCTTCTTCTTTTGCACAAGCTCTTAATGTTGTATACTATCACTTAGAAAGTTTCAACGAGGTCAGTAAACCTAAAGCTTCATCGGCGAATATATGGGTACAGTTTTCTTGGACTTCAATAAATCCTTTATCTTTGTAGCCTCTTCAGGATGCTCTGTGACTAATTTTATTATATCTGCTACATTCTTGTTTTCTGCACTTAAGCCAGTTGCATAAGTAAGGCTTTCAGTGCTGTGGTTTAGGAACTCGTCCACTCTTCTTCTCTTCTGTAGTGGGCTTAGCTCAGTAAACGCTTTTCTCTGACTCGCGACTGACGTCGATGTTCCAACACTGCATCTCTCCGGTTTGTATAATGTTGATGCACCCTCATTTATACCGAAGTTAGAACTCGAACATGGTTGTTGCATTACAGACCCTAAAGAATTTGTCATCTTTTCCTTCATGAACTCGGGCCATTTTATGTCTTCTTGCAGCCATGTCTCATACTTCTTTATGAATGTGTGTCTCGTACGATTGCCTGTGATCCATTTATTCCTTAAAGAACACACATAAGTCTGGCAGACTTGTTTCAATTCTTTATTTTCATTCGCTGTCAAATCAACGGCATTCTCGAAAACTTCAAATAACACACTGGGCTGTGAGAAACAGCTATTATTTGCAACAAACATGAAAATATCTAAATTGGTACCAAAACCTTTCATTATATTACGGGCAAAATCGAACTTAATAAGTATAGTAAGCGCGCACAAGAGCAGAAAGTGAAGTTAGCCAAATCACCCTATTCATATGTAACTACCCTCATTAAGCTTGTTGCCCCATTAATGATTATGTTATAAGTAGCTAATTAAAACTCAATAATAATGAGAGTAATTACCAAATGAGTTACTTAATTGAATAAAATTGAAAATAAGAAAACATAATAATCTTTTTTCTGTTATTATCACTATTAAAGGTCTATAATAGGTCATTAACTAACGACAATATCAGTAATATAGTCGGTTACTTCATTTAATTACGTTAAAGATTTGAAAAGTTATATACTGAAAATTCCAAATTTTCAAAGGTTGCTACATGCAAAGCGGCATCGAAAGGCACAAGTATTATATGTCATCTTGTTCGCCGTGTAAGGTGCAATAGCTTATATGAGTACCAGCCTTTCAGTTCTATTCAGTTTAAAAAAAATGCACTGTAAGTGATTTCTCCCATACAAAAAAAAACTATTTTTTTTTTCTCAGGCGTGGTATTACTTATACCCTTCATACTATAATATTAAATAGAGGGAGATACACTAAATACAAAACTTTTTTTTTTTTATTAATTTCAGACATTGAATTTTTATGAGTATGGCGCTCGATTTTCAGACCACTGTGCGTAGGCGCGTTTTTTTATAGTATCACACGAGTGTTATAAGACCAGGTTATGTACAGTATCATACACTACTTTAACTACGCTCATACTATAATACGTAAAACAATATTGCAAATAAAACGCTGAATATAACAACAAATTTATTTTTACTTGTAATAATTATTGATGTTCTGAATATTACAATTATGAAACTGAATTTGAACCGGACAGGAAGCGTTATTGGAGATACTCAGAGGGGGTATGTTAATGTTGACCTCATTTCTGTTATTTTCAATACTGTTAAGTATTGAATTGGATACAGCGATCTTGTTAGTCATTGAATCATCTATATAGCCTTCTGCAACTGTCGTTGACTTCCAGCCACCGTGTCGCTTTAGTGCCGTTATATCTCCACCAGCGTCAACTAGCAAGGTCGCAGATGTTCGGCGAAAGCAGTGTCCTGTGTACAATTCGGGGTCGATAAGTTGAAGATAGCTGGCAATAACTTTGCCTAAAGCTCCAAATTTGTCAATGCCCAACTCTCTGCGTCGTGCATTTTCCGGCAATATAGTTTAGAAAAAAACTGGGATTGCTGCACTCATTTGGTCGTAGCTCTATGTATTTTTTGCATTGTTCATAATATTTCCCAGTAACGGTAAAAGAGCGGTCCGTCTTGGTTTTAGTTTTACTTATTTTGATCAATAGTGTAGTTTCGAAGATCAATAGTGTAGTTTCCTCTCGCCTTTGTGCCTTGGTCGTGTGCGGACGTGTGACCCGTGGCTCTGCAATAAGTATCATTATCGCGCAAATTCTGGACGAAAACGGCGCCCCCCTGCATACATTGAACTGGTTATTCAAGGTACTGTGCTTTCTGTCCTTTTCTCGCTTCGCTGCAACTGTCCGCGAACGCCAACAGCGACGCGAAACAGAGACGGTTGTCATAATTGCTTTCTCGCTCCTTGCTTTAAAAAATTACGTCTTTTGCGGATGATACTGTACTTTCATTCACTGGGAAAACTAGGACAGACGCCTTGTCTACCGCTCAGAAGGGGTTAAATGCCGTTACTGCAAGGTTGGTTGCTAACACACTTACTTTAAATGCCTCTAAATCCAACTTCATCACCTCCATTCGCAACGACACTCAACCGAAGCCTCCACCATCTCTAATAGCTCATATGTGCTCTTTTCCAGAATTCAATAGCTGCTCCTGACCGTGTATAAATTCAACCATATGCACTAAATATCTTGGAATTATCATTGATCAAAATCTAAATTTTAAACAGTTTATAGACACACTTACTTCCAGGATTAGAAAATTAATTTACATTTTTAGAAAACTTCGTTATGTTGCCCCACCTTCAATTATCAGATCCACTTACTTTGCCCTATGCCAGAGCATTATTACTTATTGCATTACCGCATGGGGAGGAACCTTCAAAACGGATCTTTTACCGCTGGAAAGGGCCCAACGTGCGATCTTGAAGGTGAGCACTTTCAGACCCATTATGTTTCCTACAAATGAGCTTTACCTAAGCTATAAAGTTATGACTGTATGGCAACTTTTTATAATGAATACACTTCTACATGTACATGCTAAAACACCACTTACTTGCAACGCCAAAAGAAACAACAGAAATGTCTGCCCTACACCTAGGATTAATTATGCGTTTACTAAAAGATTCTTTGTCTTTCTTGGCCCTTACTTATACAATAAAATAAATAGCCTTCTCCTGTATCACCATCTACCCCACTCCAAATGCAAAAAAGTTTTATCTGACTGGCTTTTTGGAAAATCATATGAGGAAACCGAAAAATTGCTCGCTGTTGTATCCTAAATAACATCACTTACATCTACTCATACTTGCACCATACATACGCACATACAGACGCACACACATACGCACTCACACACACAGACACACATTCACACACACACAACACATACGCGTATTCTGTCCATTTTATGTAGTCCGTAATTTTTATTAATATCTTTGTCATTAACAAATGCTGTTATCTGATCTGCTTCGCTATCTTTACTTGGCATGCTCCCAGGCCATTACTTACCGACTAGGAACAGTAGCTGTCTCGATCACGTGATTTTAAAGCTTGATAAACATCGCCATTCTGCTTTGGTTGCAGTACTAAATTCATCAATTACAGATCATTCTATGATACTACTATGTCTAACAAATATATCTGATAAAAAAACAGTAAATACAAAATCTAAAATTATAGTTGACCATGAAAATGTATGCAAGTCACTTTCTGCTGTTGATACTTCACGATTTAGCACCTATAAAGATCCTAATGCACTTGCTGATGCTTTGATTGGACTTATAAAATCCGAAATACAAATAAATACAAAAACAAAAATAATTCCTAACTCTAAAACAAATTTGAAACTTTGGATGAGTACTGGAGCCCTACGCTGTATTAGACTTAGGAATAAAATGCAATTGAAACTGAAATCAGAACCCCACAATGATATATTAAAATTTACTTTCAAGCGCTTTAGAAATTATTGTATCAACTTAATAAAAAAACTGAAACGTGAATACAATAGGAGAAAAATAGAAGCCACTTCGAAAAATTCAAAGAAACTCTGGAACACGATCAATGAAATAACTGTTCTTATGAATCAGTCTATACAACCTCTTCAAACAATCAATAATTTTAATCAGTTCTTTGTTAATATTGGCAAGACATTAGCAGAAGAAATAACTCTAAATTATAATTCACAGCAATACAGTCAAAATAATGTTGATTGTCAAGTTTCTTCATTTGTATTGCTTGATGCTGATCCGCATGAAGTTAATGACCTCCTTATGGGACTTGATTCGGGCTGTGCTACTGGATGGGATGGCATATCTGTACAATTACTAAAAAGCTGTAGAGATTTTGTGGTCCCACTTATTACACAACTAGCCAATCTATGTTTCCACACTGGTGTGTTCCCTAGAGCTCTTAAGCGTTCCGTTGTAACTCCTGTATTCAAGAGTGGAGATAAAAGGGACATAAATAATTACAGACCTATATCTGTGCTTAATAGTATTTCTAAAATAATAGAAAAACTATTGAATAATAGACTCTTGAACTATTTAAATAAAAATGAAATATTATCAAGTTCTCAGTACGGTTTCAGACGGGGAATATCAACGGAGAATGCAGTCATAGATTTAGTGACTCATTTATGTTGATAAAGGGGAGAAATGTCTAGCTGTATTCCAAGACCTCAAAAAGGCCTTCGATACTGTTTCTGTACCTATACTAATAAAAAAGCTTGAAGGCATTGGTATTAGGGGTACTGCTCTCTCTTTGTTTGAAAGTTATCTCTCAGAAAGAAAACAAGCTATTAAAATTGACAATTTAAATAGTTACGAAGAAAATATCACATACGGAGTTCCACAAGGCAGTGTGCTAGGCCCTTCACTGTTCTTAGTTTACATTAACGACCTGTGTAAGCTTCGAATTAATGGAGTACGAATTTTCTGTTACGCGGATGATACTGCACTTGTATTTTCTGGTCATTCCTGGGAGGCAGTACAAACCGTTACTGAACTAGCTTTGGCTGAAGTGTCAAATTGGCTTAACACAAATCTTCTGACGCTTAATACGACAAAAACAAATTATATATGTTTTACCCCAAGTCAAAGATCTCAACCGGCTGATGATTTTCAAATTAAAATTCACAGTAGTAAAAACCATCCATCCACCGAAAACTGTAACTGCCCCAGTATTTCAAAAGTAATCAGCACCAAATACCTTGGAATTATAGTGGATCAAAGACTATCATGGTATTCACATATTGAATTGGTTATCGCCCGAGTCAGGAAACTTACCTGGATATTTAAAACATTGCGATATGTCATGTCTAGTCAACTTCTGAACAAAATCTATGTTGCGTTAGTTCAGCCTGTGATAACGTACTGTATTCCTGTGTGGGGAGGAAGTTCAAAATATAAATTACTTGATCTTGAAAGGGCTCAAAGATCACTCCTCAAGGTAATGTATTTCAAACCTTACAGTTTGTAATCTTTTATCTATCCGGCAGCTGTATTTATTAAACACTACCCTGGCATTACATAAGACATTAAAATATGATCCTTCAAAATTAGACAGAAGACGTAAAGATATTGTGTTTCGTTCCCTTCCAACTCGCACTGATTTTGGTAGACATCAATATCCCTCTCAAAGTATTTTTATTTATAATACTATAAACAAAAAATTACAACACAACATGTATCCTATGTTGTCATATAAATGTAAAACAACTCTAGTTAATTGGCTGAAAACACTTAACTATGAAGACACGAAATTAATTTTAAAAAGAATAACATAATGACGACCATTATGTTATTCCTTCTCTTCTCATCTCTTCAACCTCCAGTACGAACTGGAGGTTGAATATATATACAACTGTACACACATTCACGCACTTATTCTCCATTTCACACAGACACACACACACACATTCATACACACACACACTTATACAAATACACCTGATACTTTAAGAAATTAGTTGTTATGTGCCCAAAATTTGTTAACTGCACTAGGCTAAGAGCGAGACATCCCAACACAAGTATTAATTATTACTTTTTGGGTTGTCTCAACTTGTACTGTAATCTGACTCTTTGGGAAATAAAATCATTTTCATTTATTTCATTTTTTTTCGAAGACTTCAACATCTTTGAATTGTATGTTGTATAACTCTTGCCGTCGGCAAGCACCCATTACACCAAAAATTAGTGCAATCTGTAACAACTTATATATATATATATATTTATATATATTACGGTAAATTAACTCAATATTTACAAAAAAAATGTACATGGTTAACTGATAAACAACTAAAATACCTTTGTGAAGAGATATAATGTGTCTGGGGCTTATTTTAAGAACTTATTTATCTGCTCTGCTGTAAAAGTCTTGGATTTTTTCCCTTTATATCCTTGTGAGTTTCGTTTCAAAAATGCAATCAGCTTGCTATATTTAGTTATGTCAACTTCGTTGTAAATATTGAGTGTACTTTTAATCGTGGAGTATTTCACCCACATACTTGACACTTCATATTTTTCAGATAACTCTTGAAAGTACGCTAACAACACATTTTCAGAAAATGATGTAGCATTTTTATTCATTTTCCATTCCATGAATTCGTGGTAACATTTATTATAGTTGCTCCTAGATTTCGCCGGCAACAGGTTCATGGTCATGTTTGACGCAGCTTCCAGAATGTCTGGTGGTGTACAATCACCACTATCCCCGCTTTCAGACATGTTTTTACACTAAAACTTATGTATTACAAAACCAAACTTTGTTTAAATATTGAAAAGATTTTTTATATGTCAAATGTTGGCGCCAAGGTGCAAACATCGATTGCGCATGCGTGTTGCGTCGCGTCGTCGCGGACTCATTCATTGAAACCTTTTTAAAGTAGAGGTTCAACCTCCTTGGTCCAGCTGGAGGTTGTATAGGTGTATCGTTATGATTAAAAAGTTATATTATGTTACAGGTGTCCATACAAGACCTGTATCGTAATTAAACTTTTTTTTTATTATTTTTGGCCTGTACGTAATGTTTGTCATAAGCATTTTGTTTTCAGTTTTAGAATCTTTGTATTATAGTATCAGAGTAGATAAAAATATTAATTTCTTTAAATTTTTCTCTAAGGGATTCTCTTGCCTTTAAATTGTATATGGCGCGAACAGCTCTCTTTTGCAGTATGAAAATACTTTCGATATTAGCGGCTGAGCCCCACAACAAAATGCCATATGACATAACACTATGAAAGTAACCAAAGTAAACTAATCTTGCCGTTTCCACATCAGTTAAAGAGTCTTATTTTTTTAACAGCGAAAGCTGCAGAGCTCAATCTACTTGACAAGGCATCAATATGAGGATCCCATTGCAGACAAGAGTCTAAAGTAATACCCAGAAACTTTGTAGAATCCACTAACTCTACAGGCTGGTCATTTATTTTTATACTAGTATTAACCTGCCTCACATTAGGTAGAGTAAACTTAACGCATTTTGTTTTACTGGAGTTAAGTTTTAAATTATTTACCGTAAACCAGTGAAGGACTTCAGAGAGAGCACAATTTACTTCGTCATAACAATCATTTCCTCTTCTAGCTTTAAACAATAAAGAGGTGTCATCAGCAAATAGTACTGACTCACACAAATCTCTTGTAAAGTGAGGAAGGTCATTGATATAAATAAGGAAAAACAATGGGCCCAATATTGAACCCTGGGGCACGCCTATAGAAATGGGTGCTCCTGTAGACTCAGCTTCATTTATAACTACTTTCTGAATCCTAGCAGAAAGATAAGACTGTATCAGACTTAGTGAAATATTAGATACACCATAATGCTTCATTTTATTTAACAATGTTTCATGGCTAACACATTCAAACGCCTTTGATAAGTCGCAAAAAATGCCAATAGCATCGTGCTTACTCTCCCATATATCAAAAATGTGTTTGAGAAGTGCAGTTCCAGGATCAGTACTACTTTTGCCTCTAGTGAAACCAAACTGTTTTAAATGAAATAGCTTATTTATAGAAAAGTGTGCTAGTAATTGGTTATAAATTATTTTCTCAAATACTTTACTTAGCGCTGGTAATACAGATATAGGCCTAAAATTGCTGGGATCTGATTTGTCACCAGCCTTAAAGAGAGGGATAACTTTAGCACATTTCATTAGATCTGGAAACACTCCCTCATCAATACATTTGTTAAATATAATGGCCAGTTGTGGCGCAATGACAGTGATGATAATCGGTTTTATTATATATGTTGATATTCCCCAATAATCCTCTGTCTTTTTAATTTTAACGGAGTTAAAAGTTTTTATAATACAATCACTACTGATATGGCTAAAATGAAAATCATTACTGCACTTATCAACACTTGACTCAAGGAGGGTCATTGCTAACCTAGAACAAGAATTAAAATTTCTAGTGGTTTCAAATGGTGCACTAGAAAAGAAATTTTCAAAAGTGTTTGCAACGGCATCATCTGTCAGAATAATCTTGTTGTCTATTTTTAAAGAATATGTGTGTTCATTATATTTATTTCTTCCAGTTTCATTATTAATTATATTCCAAGTTGTTTTTATTTTATTATCGGAAAGACTATTTTTTTTAGATAAAAACTAAGCTTTTGCTATTGCACACACCTTTTTAAAAGTTTTTGAATAGTTTTTGACATATTCTATAAACTTAGATCTTAGATAGAATCAGATGAGGTTGCCTTGAGAGCATATAATTGATACAACTTATTTCTACTTTTGTAAATATCAGGTGTCGCCCAATCACTAAATTTCTTTTTTAGAGCTATGGCATTTAATAAGTTTGCGTTTGAATATTTTAATATTTTACTAATTAGATTTCCCCAGAAAACATATTTAAAGATATAAAAAATAAAATTAGCCTTTAAAATAAAAAAAATAAGAAAAATGGTCATATAATTTAAACATCATACCGTTCTTTTTCCTGAGCGATGAACTCATTCACCATCTGTGGTGGCAGATTGACTGGGATCTCTATTTGCGGGTCCGGATTGACGTTGCTCTGAAGGGTGTAAGTGCACCTATTCATCAAATATTTATTGAAATCCTTAGGTGGTTTCGGTTTGACAGGAAAAAGGCTTCGTTGACGGCGATCGATCTAAAAAACAAAAGTTGAATTACACACATTTAATAAGTTCGAATTTGAGACATAAAAATGCATTGTCTTATCTTAAAAAAAGAGCGAAAGCATACAACAGAATAGGACACTGCAATTTACTTTTTAATTCAATGATTAAATTATAGGGGGAAACATAAATAACACGACAAAACTGGTACTGGCTACCGAATAATATTTATAGTGGTTCTGATGTTTTGTCACATCCTAAGGAAGAGGTAATGATTATTATAGCATCAGACTCGCCTGTTTCCGAATGTGAATGTACATTTGGTAAGGATTGGAATGTGTTATATTGTGGCTAGTGCTGGTACTATCTGGAGCCGGATCGTTCTTCGACGAGTCTCTAGAATGGCTGTCTTTGGACGCTTTGATTTTCCTTTTGCGAGGATGTAGTTCCACAGATGCGCCAGAACCTGTGTCTGTAACATTGACATTGTTTGATTCTTTCATCTTGGACAGAGAAAAAAATAAATAAAAAATAAAAATAAAAAGTATAGATACTCAAAGTATCTTATTTCAATATGATGCAAATGTGCGACCAAAATAGAATTGGATTTGAATGATGATGTTTAAACATGTTTAGTATAAAAGCGAAGTATCACTAACTGAAATAGGTACTTGTTTGGAAAGTTTTCAGTAAGTCAGGTAAGTACAAGTATGCTTATAATCGCGGCACGATATGATGGCCGTTTTGACACATTGCAATAGCACGTCAGTATTGCAATATGTCAAAATGGCCATCATAAAGTCAACCTGTTATTGAAAAAATAATCCTATATAATCAATACGAGTCACATCTAGGTATTTCAAGTTTTTAACCAATATTGCTAAAAGTTACTAATTATAAAGATTGAATAAAACGAAAACATACATATTTTTTTTACTGACGCTAAGTGATACTATATGTAACAAACAATCTTATTAATTTCATGTTTTTACATTTTGAATTTCGAACAACAGAAATTCCGAGTTATTTGGCGAATAAGTACATTACAATTATTTATTACAATTACAATTATTAATATTTGTAAGATATAACATTTCTTAGTGATAATAAGAATAAACCAATTATTTAATTTAATTAATTTTTTAAAGACTCAGTCAAAGGGCCAGTAGTTTTAAGTTAAAAATTATATTTTATTTACTCGTTATAAACTTGAAAAGGTTTTCGTAACCTTAATATAAGTTAGACCATGATTTTACATATTTTTGTAAAATTTTAATTCTACACCCTAAAATTACAGATTCGATCAATTTTATGACTAAATGAGCATCTCTAATGACAATGAAGAACATTAATTATGAATTTTAAATGAAGATCTAATTTCAAATTTAGAATATTCATGAACGCACAAACGTCAAAACGGTCATCAATATCGTGCAGCTATGAAACGCACCGAAATGAAAAATCACATATACATATAAATAACTTATTATTTGTAAAATTAAATTGAGTAATAAGCAGTTTCGGAAGACTTACTTGACTCAGATCTGCCACCACCGCCACCTGTGCCTGATGAAGAGTGATCTCCGTCTTGACCCTGGAACAAAACAAACACATTTATATAACCAGATCCTAATTATCAATTGATTTAAAGGAAGCGGATTGACAATTTATCTAACCTTCTGACGTGCCTTTTGGAACAGACATGTAAAATGAAACAAGACAACATGTTAGACCTTATTTTCTACAATAACAAGTCTCTTAAATATAACCACATGACATTTTCATCACATCTTTCACTTTTGTAAAACTAGTTTAATAAGAAACCGACTTACAGAGCCCGAGGGTGTTGGACTTTTATTGGAATTCAGAGCTGACTGATTCTGTCCCGACCCTGAGCGACTGTCGGAGCTTGTCTGCGGGGAAGTCCGCTCCTTGTCTTTTTCTTTATCTCCATCGTTCGTCCTATGCGAACGAAGTACTCTTTGTCCAGCCTTAGGAAAAAATATCAGATCATAGAGGCTTGCTTTCAATTTCAAAATGTAACATACATTTGTACACAGAGATATTATAAGAAAATAACTTGGTACATCGATCCACAGAACAAAAATAATGAAGAGTTTCGCACGGAAAGTGAGACATGACATTAGAAATAAACACATACCAGACCAATAGAAACAATAAAATCAATATCTAGCAGCATAATATCAACAGTTTTACACAAGAACGAATGAATGGTATAATGAAAATGTTTGCTACTTGCTTGTCGGCGTGGCTCTGTTTGCTTGTAAAAAATAAAATTTAAAACTCAATTTTCACGTAAGTAATGTAAAATTTCCAATACTCGCTCAATATTAGTAACAACAACAGTGGGACATTGTTATAGTACGTCACTTTTTGCTGATAAGTATTGCAAACAGTTTAGTTCTGATGAAGGTTCTGTTAATGGCAATAACATTAATTATTGCAACTTACCTTCCCGCCTTCACCAGTGCGTTTCTCTTCGCAGTTACCGTCAGAGCTGTCAGATGTTTGCCCGGTGTCGTTGCTCGTGCATGGAATCACATAGGGCAGAGTTGAGACACTGCCTCGACCTTTCCCTCCACCTCTCTGGCCCGAGCTTCCTGTAGTGATAATTATGTTGAGGAACGAGTACGATAAGGGTTTTCACATTTGATTCATCAAATTTGGTGGGGGCACACGACACCGGGATTATTACTCAACATACCATCACCTTCTTGTTCATTCCTGTTGGCTGAACCGCTGGCTCCGCCCGGTATAACGATTTTAAGGGGCGGAACTTTCGGAGCGGCCGATTCGCATTTCTGCTCCTCCGAATCGCCGTCGGCGTTGTCCTTACCGGAATTAGGTTTAGGACTCGCCACTGGACTCTTCCTATCTTGTTTGCTTACTTGCGAGCCTGCAGTTCCCTTTGAACCACCGGATGATTTACCCTATATTTCAGGAAAAATATCTTTAGAAGTGGTAAAAACAAAATACGATAAAGAATATTCATTGCCTTTCATTTAGATTCAGGTTAATTAGCATCAGAAATCAAATTGAGAAGATCAATATCAGAGGAAGGAATAGAATATAAATGTATCATAAAAAATAATTAATGACTGATATTGTATTTATTATCCATCCTCAATACCCATACATAGCTGCCAAAAAGCAGGATAATAATGCATTGGTTTTTATTATAATTTTAATGAAAAAAAAAGCTATCACACATTAATTAGATACCAAAATTTTCTGATATAAAATGATTTTCAGTTAAAAAGGATGTAAAATAAAAATAGCACTTACTTTATGTCTGAAACTTCTCTGCTCATCATATCGTTTTAGTTGACACGTCTAAAGATAATTTGTGACTCGAACTCAGGACAGACAGTAATAATTACCTTAGTACTTGTGCTCCCCTTCCCCTGCGCCTGCTGTCCCTTTCCAGATGAAGCACTGCTGCCTCCTTTACTCGAGCTTTGGGAAGATCCACCTTTACTAAGCGGCGATGCTCCAGTTTTGCTTGCTGGGCCTGGTGGCTTGGATCCTGTTAGAATCCTGTAAAATTTAAAACATATCAACTATTTGAATAATGTACCTAATAACTCCTGTTTCGATTCATTCCGCTATAAAAGTAGTAACCAATAATTCCATGAAAATGATTTCAATGCGGTATCGACAGCCGCCATCATACTATATTAAGAATCCTCGGGTTATTGTATTCCTGTCCCTACCAGCATACTCACCAAACTCTGCCTTTAGATTTCCAAGTTTAAAATAATAGATTAAGAATAGTTTTTGGCATTCTTGAAATACCAGAATTCCACGGTGAGTATGCTAGGCATAGAGACACGGTTTATGGTAGACCTTCAAAGTAAGACTGTTACGTTACGACTCTATTCTCGCTTTATGCAGAGCAAAGAGGAAACCACCATCCCGGTTTCCTCTATGGTATGTTCGGTCTAAGTGAAGTTCAAGGAGAGAAGAAGGAGTCATGTCAGAATCTGGCCATTGTGCACCTAATGTTGCACTGAGTTCAAGATCAACTAATCCCAAGGAGAAGGGGTACGTCATAAAAAAATCTGTTTCTTACAGTGCAGTAGTTATTTGTAGTGTTTCCAGCAGGGTTGCATACACCATAATCAAGTTAGACAAAGAGGAGGCGAAAGTGTTGTTGTAGAGGTATACACCCACTTAGACAACTCTGACTATCTGAAGTAGAGAATCATTATCAGCCTATTAGAACACTGCACTGGCCTTGCCCGTGCATGGAATAGGGAGAATAAATGGGTGTTAAAGCAAAACAACAGCACGTTAGTGCCTTCCGAAGCACAGAAGAGCCGGAAATAATATCTGGTTACTTATTTATTACCGTTCGTTGCAAAGTTTGTTAAACTTGCACCGATTCTCATTCGGTCTGAGCCGAACAAGAAAGCGCCATCGAGTTCAAAACGCGGAAGTGGCAGAACCGGCTTGCTGTGAATTCGTCTTCGGACCTCATTCGCGGCTCTAGGAATTTTAGCTGACTAATGCTTGTTACCTTCCTGGAGAAAGTCTACTCTTTATGAACTATATTTTAAGGACTAAGTATTTTTCTGCGACGTGCGAAGAGTTTCAACGAAGCGGAAATCTATTTCATCGTAGTGGAGAAAATGAGTATGTTAATCAATAATAAAATAATGGTGTACACTAACCATTGTTCGTGTAAGTAGCGAGTTTGATTTTTAATTGCAATAACAGAAGATTTATTTTATTGATTAATTACCTGTGCTTTATGAAATAATATTCAAAGGTATTGTGTATCAGTGAATAAATAATTATAATATAGCATCTAAGACTATTTGTAATGATTTTAAATAGTGTGGAATCAAAGCGGAAAGTAGGTAAGCGTAGCCGAGTCGAGCGCAGTATTAGCGTGGCCGAGTCATCTGTGCGTGTAGTAGGTAGCGCTGATCTCGCTCGCCTGGAGGCATTCATTATTTTCCGTTTTTTAGGAGTGCTTATTTTTAGTTGTTTTACAACTTTTATGTAGACGCTTTTAAAATGAATAATTACTCATAAGGAACAAATGACAAAAAAATAAAAACCGAAAAAAATAATTTTTAAAAATGCGAAAAAAGTCAGGAATACTCTATACACGTAACCCAACAATCTCACGAAGTTTCAATAAAACATTCAATTTCACCCTATATAAGGTGAAATTGAATTTAGCTTGAGTTTGTATCGAGATAAATGGAGCGCAGTTCGAGGCACAACTTTTAAAACCGCAAAAAGGTCATGAGCAGGTATGAGAATTTATTATTTAAGTAGGTACACTTATAGTACAGTCATTTGGTGAGAAATATAGTGGTTACCTGGAAAGTTTTCCGGGAGTTTTGAAAACTGGTAATTTTATAAATTTTGAGGTGTTCTTTCCGAATTTCGACTTTGCCACTTCGTATCTTTGCCGCTATAATTATTATAGATATACTATATTATAACAACTTATATTAGAAAAATGGCGCCTAAAAGCAGTTTTTGACAATATCTCCTTTCCAACTCATTTTACGATATAAACAGTTATATACAAAAGAAACTGGAGACAATTGCCTACAGTTTATGTATCTACCTTTTTTTCATAAAGTCAATAGTTTTGGCGTACGAGCGCCGCAAAGTGTAGTCCAACGCGCATTATGGCCAAAAACTCATTTCCACATCACCTTGAGTTAAAAGTGGCGCGTTATTTTTAATGTGGTATCCCCAATAGACCTAATCCACATGCAATTCAATGTGCTAAGATTTAGCGTATTCTCCTTCGCTTTGTTGTTCTCGATGTTATATGAATCACATTTAAGCGCACCTAGCGACATCTATTGTATAAAAATGCATTTTCTTCGCAATAAAGCTGCCACGTGGACGTCCTAGATGGAGACTTATTATTATAATACGGTAAAATAAAATATTACTATGTTTCGTCCAATATATTGAAAGTCAACAACCTTTTTAAATTTTATTGTGTGTCATGATGCGATCAGCCCACGTGTTTAACCCGACGTGTGTTTAATTTTTTTTACCCATACAAAAAAAAAGTGTACAACGTGGCTAAAGCAGTTTTCACTTAAAAAAAATAACACTAAAGAAAAGTTTTACTTGAAAAAAATCCACGCGGACCAGGCAGCGGACGGGACTCGAACCCGCACCCTTCGCAATCCGCGCGAATGCACTGTCTAATTATGCTACCACGGCCCTGATGGCTCCTGGATGGCTGGTCCGCGTGGATTTTTTTCTAGTAAAACTTTTCTTTAGATTTAAACATCTAGCAGTGAAATGCTTAAAACAAAATAAAAATATAAAAATACCACTGTCATTCGTATACATTTTCATAGTATAATACATATATTTCGGCTTCAGGAGCGTTCCCCTTACACCCTGTATAGCGACATCCCTTTCTAACTGTACTTAGAATATTTTCAAACGTATCCCTGGAATATTTTCAGCCGCATTATCTTCTACTGGTTGGGGTGCATTTTGTAATGGCCATAGCTGTTATGGGCATTGCAAAGACAAAGAGAGGTCGTTGCACATTAAACGAACTCGAGTTAAGGGCAGCTTTCCTTGCTAGGTAAAGTAGTGATTGCGAAATCTTATTGCGTATAGATAACGTGATTGATATATCTTGCATTAAAACAATGGCCAGCGCCCAATACCGTCATTTAAATCAAGTAACAAGAGATATCTGGAAATGGTGCGAAAAGCGTATAATTATATTTTCTTTTTCCTCTTATATAAACACAAAACAAAGCTAGAAGCTGATTTACTTTCCAGGAAGAAGTTCCAAAATACTGAGTGGGAATTGTCTAATTATGCTTTCCAAGAAATAACACTCTAATTAGGTTCCAGAAATAGATTTATTTGGTAGTAGATGTAATGCCAAATGTGTTAACTTTGTTCGTGGAAACCTGATCTGATGCTTGGGCAGTCGATGCTTTTACAATATCATAGCATAATAAATTCTTTTACGTATTTCCTCCATATTTATTAATCACAAAAGTAATGCAACATCAACACAAGCATGAGATCCATTGTTTCAAAAATTAATAATCTCAACTAAGTGTTGATTTCTACTTGAGTACAGTTAGAAAGGGATGTAATTACTTTGTGCAACTGAAGCTGCTTTGACGTGGTCTCGAAAACTGACATCGTTCAACGTTGGAGAAGTCGCGCAAGGCAACTTTGTGTTCATAGTGCGCAACCGAGCCAATGTCCTAGGGTCACGCGCGCTATGTGGGCACAGTTCAACTTGAACAGACGACGCGGAACCTTCGGCTTTTATAAAGGAAGACTGTAAGGGCCTTGAACAAAAGGTGTTTTAAGATCATAGCGCTGCGGATGCGCTCACTACACCAACTTCGTACCGTCACTGCTTTGCCTCACTCGCTAGTCGTGTCTTTCGTGGACACTACATTGGTAGCACGCGAAACACGTGTCGTACCTACGCGCTCTGTCTCGCTCGCTCGGGAAAGGGCGGGGCGGGCTGCGCGGCCGGCGCGGTTTCACCCGTGGGCCACCCAACGTAAGCTGGTTGACACGAGACGTACGGGAGAGGAAGACGCGCGCCGAGGCGGTGCTGCACGTGTGTCGGGTGGTTTAGGTGCGCTATGACCTTTATTCCAGCGGTTTTGAGGCCGGCTATATAGCACATCGCGTAACACGCCGTCATACATACAGGTTAATTGGATTTTTACTAACATAGGTGTAATCTTTATTTATCATAATACAGTCAATCATTAATACACTTTCTGTGTATCGTAACGTCACGAAGTGACACTCACGAAGCTTCTTGTCAGTATACGCGCAGATGCAACCTGCCATTATCGGCTATCGTGGCGAACATTCGGGCTGCGGGTGCGTACTCGCACGGTAGGCAATATTTCAAAGGCTTTGAGCGCGCTACCTTGAAGTGCTACGTGGTCAGACTAGCGTCGGCGTCATTCATTGAGGCGGTCGAACCCGACTAGTTCTTAGGCGCATGCCTCGTGGCTAAGTATCTATACAATATTTTTATTATAGTAAAATGGAGTAGAAATTTTCCGTAATTATGAAGATTTTGGATTTTTATTAATGCATTATTCAATCATTTGCACACATACAGAAATAAAGAAAGTCGTTGTCCATAGTTGAATGTCTGGAAATAACTACGGCCATCTTAGTTTATTGCATGATAGTTCATGAAAAATACAGAAGCTGCTAATGTGATCATGGGCTTTATTGCAATAACTTATTAGAGTCAAAAATTACGAATCTTCGACACGCATTACTTCGTGAAGCTAAATAAGTATAGTGATTCTCTTGGATACTTTTGACGTATTACAACCAATATCAATCTCAGAACAAATGGAGTAAACATATCTTTTATCAAAGTTTTTGGTTTGGCAAGAACAATATTAAATACCCTAGATACATCAACACAGACAAAATCGTACCCGAAACCTGTCGAAAAGGTAAATTGGACGATCCACGGAGCTCCGCAGGATGATAGCGTAATCCAAAATAATATAAGGCATTATTAAAACATTGAAGGTCACCTTTAATACATACTGTATAAGGTCTTAATTATAACGCATGCTTCAGAGTTATGACAGTTCGAAATGCAAGCTCGCAAAATTTTACGACTTACCACTATATGTGGAAAAATATAGACCTGATATCTTTGACTCTACGCGCAATTCTGAATTGCTAACAATATAGCAGGTACGGACCGCGAGAAAAAGAGACGGCTATATTACCGATTTACCATGCATTTGAATATCAAAAACATTTTCTATTAAATCAATTTATAGTAAGTATTACAAACAAAATTTGCTTTAAATGCGTTGAATTAACAAACATTAATTAGATAACTGTTGAAAAAACGACACTACACATTATAATTTTTGGAGCAGCATGCAGCTACTTGACTTTTCAACAGTCCGCAAGTGACTGTGAACCAAGTAGTGCTTGAGTGGTGTTCAAGCACTTCCTGATTGGGACACATTTTGTGCGCATGTCTATGGTATTTAATATCATTGTTTGGCAAGTGTAGTGCCAAGCCAAGATATACGTAAAGTGGTTGGGAGGAACTGGATGGAAGCAGCTAAGGATTGTGCTCAGTGGTGCGCACTTGAGAACACTAGAATCCAGCATTGAGGCAGATATAGGTTGCTATAGGGGGTGTATATAGAATAATGAAAATTTTGGTGAAATTTCAACATACCTTCCAGTTGCTCCTCGTGAGACAGGAGCAGGCTTTGCCATTGGTTCTTTGTCATCATTCTCCTTCCGTTTCTTTCTTTTAGACACTTCATCATCCACTGCATCATTCTCATGACTTTCATCTGAGTATGATTTCTTGGAAGCACTACCTGGGTCATCTTGAGTAGCTGTCACAACGCCGCTACTGAGTTGTGATGCTTCTAAATGAAAGTTATGTTTTTATAATACTTTACTTTTTAACATTATAATAGATTGACCTTATATATTCTTATCTAATAGAATTCATAAACAACATAGCAAGAATAGATAATAGTATTTCCAGTGTGAATTTCAACAGGCTTCATAAATTTGATGATTTAAAATAATCAGACTTATTCAATTCTTGTAGTTTTATTCTTATTTCTAGAATTTACTATAATATAATTACATAAATTATTTTATTGTTATAATAATTTATATAATTAAGAATGTCTTAAACAAAATGTAAAATAAATAAATTATAATATGGATATATAATATTTTATTTCGAATCGAAAAATAGTTTTAAGTTCAATAAACCATTGTTTACATTGAAATAAAAGATAACATATTTGTCATTCTCTGCCTACCCCACCCAGGACTTGGTGTGAAGATAGATTTCATTAACACAATTTACAGTTTTTCTCGAATAACATATATTTTTTATTTTATTTTATTATACAAATACAGACCATACACATACATATTTCAAAGACCATACACGAAAATATGTTAGGGTTTATTTGTGTATGACAGCCACTCTTTTACTACTATATATACTTTCATGGTTTTTAGGGTTCTGTAGTTCTGACAAGGAACCCTTATTGTTTCGTCATGTCCGTCTCCAGTTTTGCTTGGAAATTGTTAGCACTAGAAAGCTGTAATTTTATGGAGATATGTATATCAATCATGCCGACAAAATGGTAGAATAAAATTTTGAAGAATATATATTTTTTTAGTTCTCTAGTTTCCCTACATGTAACCTCTAGATGGTTTTTATTTTTCATTATCTACCCTATCGCATGGGGTATCGTTGAACAGGTCTCTTAAAATTACTTAGGGGTTCTTAAGACTATTTTTCGATTAAGGGAACCGTTTGTGAAATATTAAACTTATAAGTGCGAATTTTTGGAAAAGCACAACTATTGCCTAGAAAAACCTGGAAAATTTCATGACTATAATGTTTTTCTTGAACTATAAAAGAAAAATTATAACGGTTAAAATAGATTTGATAGTTTACGATTAATAGTCGTTCAACTTATGTATTAGAAATTTTCTGACCTAATACAAATTCTGTAGAAGACGACATTAAAAGTGACTTAGACGAAGTAATTGCTTAAAATATATACTCTTTCCAAAATATATTGTTGTGTTGATGAGCAACTATGGAAGCCTACACTGCACGTGGCACAAAACATACTTGGCTGGTTTTTGTTCTTAATTCTACTTCATATATTTTTTATTTATTTATTTTTAACACACCAATTAGCCTAGCCCCAAAGTAAGCACTGTAAGACTTGTGTTATGGAATACCAGGGTAACAGATAGAATACATATACAGTACATAAATAAGTATATTTAAATAGAAATACATATTAAACATCCATGACTGGAGTACAAATGCTCGTATTCATCACACAAACATCTGCCCCCACCGGGACTCGAACCCGAGGGACCTCTCAAGTCTGCAACACCATGTAACCTGTAAATAATATCAACATTTTGACTTCTGAACATACTATCAGTCTACAAGTTAAATTCAGAATATCATCAAGATAACTATCTATAATGTATGAACTATAAGATTTGATTCTTAAGCCTATATGGGGGAAATATCATTATGGATTACCGTAATAATTTTGAAAATTTGTATGAAAGAATAACAAGTCAAATACCATCTCTGTTGTCAGATGTATTTCCTTTATCTTGACCTGATGAATCTTTAGTGTCAAAATGGTCTGCCTGCGCTAGGCCATCCATGTTGTTTCTTTTGTTACTGTCACTGTTGCCACTTGCATTGCCACCTTTCTTACTGCTGTCATCCCTTGCCCGAATGATGTGTGTACCTCGTAAATTATCTGTACAACAATGAATGATGTTCTAATAACCATAATAACTGGATAGAAAGATAGTGAATACAAGAAACATATATCCTAATACAGAAACACATTAACCCATATTCACAGTCAAAAAAAAATATGCCCAACAAAAGGTATATTTTCAATATAATTTAGGCAGAAATCAACCATTCAGTACTATTATTTACTTTCTATTTTAATCTTAATCTGTTATAGTACTTAATTTTTTGTACAATGAAAAAGATTTTCAGTGTCAGACTAATGCAAAAAAAATACATGCAAAGCTATCTGTCTAAATGTATTCATTCATCAATTAATGCCAACTACATAACTATAATTTTGTTTACTGGAACTTTAATAACCTAACCATTAATGTGACCAAATTTTTTGCAGAAGCTACCTACTGTTGTAAAAAACAAGAGTAGAGAAAACAGATCAACGTTAGGTTTAAGCAAGGAATATCAATAATTAGATAATATACGTGTTGTGGCGTGCAGCGCAAAGAAACTGTAACAACGATATCATGCAACAATGAACTCCCCTTTATTGATCGAGGGCGTCCTCCTTTGCATTTCACGACGTGGTTTACGAAAAATTATATATTCTTGCCAGATTAATTATTTTCACTACTGAACACAAATAAAATGGCAAATCAGCCTAATAGTAAGACCGCCACGAAGTTGGCATCAAGGAGCGGCCATAATTTGACGATGCAGCTTGTGCAACACGCCTAACGCTTCATAAATTAAATGACAAATTTTTCTTACAAATTAACACTGCACCTATAAAAACGCCTAAATCTGCATTTTTCCATGAAGCCGACAGTACTTATGGATGGTTAAAATACGTTAATCATGAATTTAATTTTATCGTTTCGACTCCAAAATAAAATACAACATGACGGCTGGGCTGACGATTTTTATTTTTTTTTAATTTATTGGCAACTGGGCTGACGCAGTGTTACCAGGTCCGAATTTTAAAAATCGGGAGGCGTTATAGAAAAGAGCAGAAGATGCATGGAAAGAGCTACAAGAAAAAAACAGTAGATGCAGAGGCGTACTTTTCCGATTTGCACCCCTCCCCCCTAGAATTGATAAATTAAGATATAGGCCAGTAACGAATTCTGTTTCTGGGGCTTCTACCGCCCCTCAAAGCTTATTTTTAAGACAAAAACATTTATTTTATAATAATTTTATTAAGGTTCCTACTTTCTTAATGGCGGAAAATGCATTTAAAAAAGGAAATCGCATTATAAGAAAAACTGAAGATTCATGTAGAAAAAAAGAAGAACAGGAGAATTTTCAGAAAATCAGGAGATATTCTGTAAAATCGGGACACCTGGCAACACTGATGGGGACAAACCAGTGTTGCTAAAGTGAAAATTTAAAAATCCTGTAATTATCCTTGTAGTAATGGGGAATATTTTGTAAAAATTTTATAAACAATAGTATTTTATGCTATTAATTAATATATAAAAAAATACGGTAAAGTGATTGCTAATTATTCATTTTCGTACCCCTTTTTACTTGCTATTTTGGCAATCATTTATTGGACAATATTAAAATTATAACAAGTTTGATTTTTTATCTTCAAAACATCTTTTTGTGTGGAGAAGAACAATAATAGATTAAAGTAGACCAATAAAAAAGTGGATTCGCCGCAAAGCTGTAATAATCATCCACCATATCATACATCATAGTCAAACATCACACAATAATAAACTCTATTGAGGCATTTCAGTGTAATATATTTTGTGTGTACTGAGAGTTTGTAAGGCCGCTTAAGATATTTGCCTTAGAGAATATACTTTTAACACAGTCTGTCAATAAAGTCATAAAAAAAGAAGGTCGCGACGGTCGCTTCATGGTATCCCCGATAAATGCCGTATAAGACGCTTTGATATTCGTTAAAAGAACTATTGTATAATTATATATCTTCCGTATATTTCATTATTATCCGCGTTTCTATCTTATCATCATCTAAGATTATGTTCTGAACCTGTCAGATACCTTACTGGAATGAAAAAAATCTACTCAATTTTTCTAGTTCAAATTCCCTTAGATTTTTATTGAAGAAGTTTCCATTTTTTTTTATATATTAATTGTAAAAATTAAAGTAAGATGAACCAAAATTAAAAAGAATCCTTAAAATATCACTTTTAATGAAAAAGCTATGGGACTTTAAAGTAGCGCCTGTAATAATAATTTCGTTTCATGAAGCAGACCAGCGTGTGACGTCACTTCACCTAGTCGACGCGCCGTGTGTCATTGGCGTGCTGTTATTATTTGCGCCGCCCGTGTCGTGTTTTGTTTATTATAATAATGGCTGTGGGCTGAGGCTAAAAAATATGTCTACAAATATTTTATTGTCCCTATGTGTCAAAACACGACAGTTAAAACGCATAATAAACATTTTTTTTGTGTAAATTATAAATTTTTGGTAAATTATCACTTTGTCCTTCTACGAATTCTTGTTCCATTATGTTAAAATAAAAATTTAACTACTAATAAATAATCAACAAACAGCTGTACGTAAAATATGTACAAACAGCGCAAGCGCTCTGGTGAGACGATCTCGACTATGACGTCAAAGGCGAGTCAGAGGCCCAAATCGTTCTGTTAAAAAGTCTATTAAGTTAAATATAGCATTATCAACATCATGAAACTTCTCCATTCGAGCAGATTAATGCTTAAAAATAAAACTATAAAAAATTGTTATAATTGACTTTCGAGGCCCAGGCTAGTAGAAACCAAGCACTTTATGACTGGCCTTTTTCGGACACTTACTAAAGGTGGAAATAAAAAGAAAGAGTTATAAAAGTGAATATATTATTTATTATTCTGGGGCCAAATATCTAATTAAAATGAATATTCCTGTGTCATCAAGTCGCTGACTGCTGCCTGCCGATTATCGGGAACTGGAATCATCTACATCTGCAAAGTTCCACTACAGGCAAAATTTATGTTTTAAAATTAACACAGATTTTCCATTCTTGTCGAATTATCGTGCAATGTCTCTTCAACCAAGGTATACCCGCGTTTTGCAGCAATAGTTGAAAATCCAAATTTATATTCACACGTTTTCTCGTATAAAAATTAACTTTTTGGCGAACCAATGGCACATAATATTTACCCACTTCTGTGTTTTCTATCTCCATTATTAATATTTCGTTCACTATGCGTCGAATTGTACTTTTGGAAACATCTGAAGCAAAGACAAGTTACATGATAAAAACCATGTTCACACTTAAATAAATTACAAAAGTATCAAATTTGTAAGGCGTGGCATAAGTTGTTAGTGATTTTTATAACCTCAACACAAAGTAAACAATGCATCAAATCATATGTTATTCCGGCTGAAAACAGAAATAATGGTCACGGGAGAAGAATTTATTTATTTCTCAATTTTAACTTACCGGATAGCTTTGCTGTTTGACCGTAAACGTCGCTAAATTCGTAAAACGACCTTCTCACTTGAAATATGGTCTTTAAGTTGCGAAAAACTTAAAATATGACCTGCAGGCCTATTCGGTAACTGCTTTTGACATATAAAAGTGATAATCACCGAACAATTTAGTGACTCACTACTGCTTTATTATAACACCACTCAGACACTTGTTCTGAAAAGAACGATGGATATGCATTTTGCTCTTTAGTTACACGCTGTAAATGTCAAAAAAGTTAGCGAATAGGCCGGCTGCTTCGGGTCACATAAATAAACAGTCCGATTTGTTTTATATCTCGTAAGGGTACCAAATTAAAAAATAACTCATATTTACACTTTTAAAACAAAATCAATAGACATCCTCAACGTGAAAACCGAACTACAATATTTGACAGTAATTTAGTGTTGCCAGTACCAGCAAACCATAAGTTCTTCAAACATTCTTTTCATGACTTCATCTTAGAGCTTGTCTAAGGATTTTAATGACAGACTGTACCTGTGCATTAGTTTAGTGATACCAGGTCACCTCTGGTGTTGTCGTCATTGGAACGTTAAATAATACTCTATTTAATCGTTACTTAAGTATACAGTGGTGTAGATTCTGGCATAATTCTCTAAACTTAAAACTAAATTTAACTTCAGCCTCACTTTTTCATTCTGTATAGAAAATGACAAGAATACTCTGTTGTCAATTTTAAGTTTAGATGTAGAGTATCATGTATGAATCGACACCCAGGCACCTGCAAAATACCTTTATTAAGTTAGAATCATACCAACCCGGAGAAGATTCTAAGGCAGAAATAAAAATAATAACAAAGTAGCTTTGACACGTACGTAACTTTAGATTGTTCTTAATTAGGATTCAAAATGTGCTTTACATGAGTTTGCTACAGAAACAAAACTCATAAGCCACCAATCGTAATTTGAATATTTATAATTATATACTTAATCTTGTCCTAAGCGCCTAAATCGTTTGTTTGTAAGCTTGAAACGGTTGAAGGTTACAAATCGCAATCTTTTCGGTATTACAGAAATCTCTACAACGAGTATAAATAGAGTTTATTATTGTGTCTTTAGTTTTAGCATGTAATTTATCTCAGAACCTTATGCATCTCAGCACGCCTGGTGTGTACTTCCTTTCTGTTAGGTTGATAACACAAAAACCAGCCCACAGCGTTAAGGTAAACCGTATATTGAGAAAGATATAAAGGTCATCTTCGACCTATCATACATACATACACTCAAAAAAAAACTAAAACATATCTTCATCGCAATAGCAAACGCACGCAATAATAAGAACCTATGCATAGAGAATAATAATAGTTGACCGCATCTAAAACCATATAAAAAGGGTAACCCTATTGATGGGTTTTTTGTAACAGTAATTGTTTACCAGTATTAACTGTATCTATTTGGTAACCATTACATTGGGGTAAGTACATGATAGGGTTACCTATTTACTAGGGTTTTCAAAAACAACTCTGTTATAAACCCTGACAAAATCCCTTTTAAGGGTAATAGGTTCCAGTCCCCACCGACACCAATGTAAAAATCGG